ACAATGATGAGGGCCTGGCCAAAGGCCCATGAGGGAGATCCTGGAGGGAGACAGACAGGTTGCTGGGTGGAGAGTGAGGGAGGAGTGAAGACAGTGATGAGGTTTCTATCCAGTGCTGTTCACCAAAACGGACAAGCCAGGAACAGCAGTAAATTTGGGTCTGTGCAGGGAAGGAGAAATGCAGCGGCGTGGACTATGGAGTGAGGGGGCCTGCACCCGCCAGAGCGGCTGTGTGGTGCGGGACCTGCTGACTCACCTGCCAGCTCCCTGGCCAAGGCTGGAACTCAGGCAGCAGTGGCCGCTAATAGCTTGATAGTGCTGAGTTTAACCCTTGTGCCACCAGGGCGGCCCTATTCTAGCTTGTTTATCTGTGGTGGATACACGCACACACGCACACACACGCACAGAGCAGTTTTCTCACGCAGCCTCCTACTTTGTGGGTGCCTTCTCTCCGCTGTCCTGTCTTCTCTACTGAAGAAAACTTACCTGTCACGATTAGTTCAAATTCCATCTCCTGGGCAAGACTTCTAAAATGAATTAGCCGCCTTTAGCTGCCTTCACACAACCTTTAGTTTAAAGTCAGCCGCGCACTCTGGACCAAGGTCAGCTGGATGTGCTGACGGACGGCTGTCACTGTGGGGCTGAGGTCTCCAAAGCAGGCAGTCAAATTTAACCTCAGCCTAGATTTCTCCCAGTCTATCTTTTCTCCCTTCCACATTTCTTTCAAACCATGCACTTTCTTGTTCTTTTTAGAAGTCTTTTTCTTTAGGTCCAACTTTCTTATTCTCCATGGCCTCTTGTCTGTGGGCTCATTGCCAGGAGCTGACAAAAGTAACGTATTCTTAGCGTGCAGGCAGGTGGAGCAGGGGGAGAACCTAAGCAAGCAGAATGTAGTTTCTCTTCTCTGTGGAGGGGAAAGATGTGAACTCTGACATGAATGAATGTCCTCCAACATGCTGAAGTCACTGGGAGAAGCACTGAGTTGAGTAACAGTCACTCACTTCCTTTAAGAAGATGGACAAATTCCGAACTTCGAAATACTCCAGACCATTTATCTCATTGTCAGAGTTCAACTGGGGTGAAAAATATCAAGTTCTATCTGCTCTCCAAAAAAGTACTGTGGATTATATCTCAATTTTAAAAACTAATGAAAAATCAAAAGTACCCGTTGGAGTCACTGAAAGGTGATATTTTAGATATTTGGCTAGTCAGCATTCGGAGCGCAGCCTAATGGAAGTTCTTCTTTTTTGCTTGTTTTTTTTTTTTCTAAACAGTAGGTATTAGCTAGATAGAAACATGTGCACAGCAAGACATTTGGCCTCACAAGCGGAAGGGAAGGTTTGGCCCAGCCTTGTGCCCCGGCCGTTTCCCCTACCTACACGCTCACAGAAACAGTGACACCCAGCTGGCTCACGTGCAGCGGCAGCCAGGCCCTCGGGCCACATCCACATGGCTGCCCCGGGGGCAGTGTGGATGCATTCCCGGGGTCAGCCAGCGCTGGATAAGTCATCAGAGGAACGCCCCGGAACTTTCAAGCAGAGCATGCTGCCCCTTTGATCATGAAAATCTGTTGCCTTAGAGAGTAAAAAACATCATGCTCGACTGAATTTAGGTTTGTGTTCACTCACTAGCTGTATCGTGGACAAGTCATGTGACCTCTTTGAACCTTAGCCGCCTCGCCTCTAAAATGGGCAGAAAGAAAGTGTATGTCCCTGGTAGTGAGGGCTCCAAACAACATAGGAACAGTTCTCGGCACCTGGTGACCATTATCCCATCCAGGTGGTGCTGCCCACTCCCAGGACAGCTGGTGAGAGTCCAGCCGTTCTCTCCCTTCACCCTGAATCCCAGAGGGGTCCCTTCCCAAAGCAGCAGTGTTAGAAAGGCGGAACTCCTAAGTCACACTCTACATCTAAACCAAATCCCCAGGTCAATTCCTTTGCACAATGTGGTTTGAGAAGTACAGCTGCTCCAGGCCGGCCCTCAGGCCTGTCTCTCACCAAGCAAGCTTCTTATCACCACTCACCCCCGCCCAAGCCACACATGAAAACTGGCATGTACTGTGGGCTCCTTAGAAGCTGTGGGTCATCTCGTGGAATCCTCAGATAATCCTGGGGAGGCAAGTGCTTTCTCTCCATTTTTCAAAAGGGGAAACCAACTCTACGAGCTGGAAAGCATATCCCACAGCGGTCCAGCTACTCTGACAGAGGACCTAGATTCAAACCCAGGTCACGTGAAACCAGAAACCTGCTGACAAACATTCTCCCCTTGGCCAAACTCCAGCTAGATTTTGCTTGCCCTCGTCCTGAGGGGACCTCAACCATGGCTCCTAAAAGCTGCAGACTCCCGCACAAGCGATTTAGTTCCTCCCCGCTCTTCCCCCCACACTAAAAGGCTGGAACAAACACTAACAGTTTCTGGCAGCTCAAGACCCACTCCTAGGATGAGTAACCCAAGGTGTTTGCCCCAGAACTCCCAAGGTTGCCCAACAAAGCGACCGTTGGCTTCAGCCAACACCTCAAAATAAGGCCCTGGTTTCCCAGTCTCTGTGGGAAGCTGGAGCTGAACTTATATAACTTGTATAAGTTGTGCAACACAAGCAGCTTTCACGTGGGCTGCCTCCCACTGCCCACCTTTGTTGCATTAGCAATTCACTGTGAGAGCCCGGCATCCCGCCCCCTGCTCCCATTCTCTCCATGTTGCCCTTCTCACGGGTGGAAGTTGAGGTCAGTTCAGGAGGGGCCCGCTCCCGATTGTAACTGTTACTGATTAATATCCACCCTGATCATGTTGTTTATCTTTTTTTAAATGTTCACTTATGCATACAAGAATGAGGGTGTAGGCCAGAGGTGTGGGTGCTGAGATGAATGGCCAGAGACAGAGTGGGCCGCAGAACAGGCAGAGGGACTGAAACACACTGCTGAGGGGGGCAGCGGGTGACACGGGAGAGGTCTGCCGCGCCGTGTGTGCAAACCCCCTGAAGTTTGTCAAGAGAGGAGCCGAGGAGGTGTGCACCGCTGCTCGGGGGTGGGCTACTGCTGGGAGCGGGAATATCGCTGGGGCTCCAGTATTGTTCCCTTTCCCAAGACAGGCGTGGGGAAACAGGTCCCCCCACGCAGGACGGTGCTGTGCGCATACGACTCGTCAGGCACCATCATTAGCAAACCAGGCTTGTTCGTGTCCAAGCAGGCACACACACGTGCACAGCACACTGCACCAGTGGACATTACAGTGAGGGCACAGACACATCACTGACCACATCTGTGCCAGCAGAAATGCCAGTTGTTTGCTGAGGGCAGAAGAGATCACGACCTTGTTGGGTTTCCTTTTATCCTTGGGTCCTTTGATCATGTCTTCTTTTTATTTTTTTTAAGATTTATTTATTTATTTGTGCATACAGACCTGGGGTACAGGCCAGAGGTGCAGGGGCAACAAGAAGATTCACCAAAGACAGAGTGGGAGCAGGACAGGCAGATGGAGGAAGCACACTGCTGAGGGGGGCAGTGGGCGAGCAGGAGGGGGCTGCCGCGCCCTGGGGGTCAGCTCCGGGGCGGGATCACACTCGCAGAAGCAGCCACAGCTTGGCTTGGCTTGTCAGTGCTCCAGCCCACTGCACCAGGGAGGGCCCTGCTGGTTCCTTTGGATCTCCCTGCCATATTGGGGACTGGCGCTGGTCCTCCCGTACTCCGTTTTGGAGAGTAGAGAGATCATTTTAAAACTCAAGTCATGTCACACCACTGCCTACACACAGCGCCTTGTTACATTTAGAATCATCATGTGTTTCTCAGCCTTTTGGCTAAGCTCAATGGTGGAGCCAGTGCCAACCCTACCTGCAGCCCCTGAGGCCCCACGTGACTGGGCTGCTCCCCAGAGTATCTGCACTTGCAGCTCCTCCTTCCGGAGCGCCCTGATCTGTTCCATCATTCAGGTCTGGCTCCAGTGCCCTTCTGGAAGGCTCCCCCCCAGGGCCCCCATCTCCCTGACCCACCCCCCAGTGCCCACCCACTGGTCCCAGGCCCTCAGAGCCATGCTCCCTGGAGAGGTGAGCAGCTTGGCCTGTATTGTTCACCGGCACATTTCCCAAGGCCCAGACCTGGCCAGGCCCTGGGCTGGGCTGCTTTCGGCAGGGATGAGTGGGGTCATTTGGCAGAATCAGCCCCCCAGTTAGGGGCTGCTGGAGGCCATGGCTTAGTGACCCGCCATTCCTTAGGCACCTGCAGCAAGCTTCTGAGGGAGACGCAGGGTCACCCCACAGCCCCGCTTCTATTTTCATCCAGCAGCTGCGCTACTAAATGACCCAGGTTAACCTCAGAGGCCACGAGAGAAATTCTAAGGACCACGTGATATGCCAGGCGGCTGGCCAAGCCTTCCTTTTTCAAATTCCTCCTCCCTCCTGAGGCCGCTGTGAGAGCCTGTTGTTTGCCAGTGTGGCTGCGGGGTGACAGCTGTTCGTTGAGGGGTTTGGATTTAAGTTTACCTTTCATGAACCAACAGTGCAGCAGAAAAGGGCCCCATCGCTCTCCCGTGCCCAGAGGCCCTGAGGGCACAGGGCCCTCATGGCAGCAGATGGGCCCTGAGTGAGTCAGTTCCCATGCAGAGGTGAACTCTGAAATGCGGCTGACCAGGGAGCTGGCTCCTCTCCCCCCAGCCCCCCCCGGAAATGGGCAGCTACCTGCTATACCATCTCAAGTGGGGGGATTAGCGCCTTGCCCTGACAGCTGGTGGCTTGTCTCCGCTTGCCGCCTGGACTTGTGGGGTACCCTTTTCTTGAAGAACTTCCACCTAGCCCCAAGAAGGCCTTGCTCTCCAAAGGCAACGGCAATCTGCCTCGCCACCCCGCCACAGCCAGCCCGTGACTAGCGCGCACAGGCCCAGCATGGGCGCTGCTGGGGCCTCACACACCAGAGAGCCCAACGCCTTTGGGGCACGAGCAGTGTCGAGCAGGGCCATCTGCATGTAGCCCACCCTGCCCCGTGCACAAACACATGTACCTGGCGAAGATCCCTGTGACCAGTGTGAGGAGGCAAGTGACACGCTGACACAGAGGCTGATGTGTGACCTTTTGGTCTCAGCTCCCTTCGCATGACCTAGGAAGTCCACAGTCTCCACCGTGTGTGTTCTGAGTCGCTTGTGTCCCCAAAGCCCATTTTCAAAACAACATCAGTGTTTGTGTTGTAAACATTCAAGTGGGGAAAAAGGCAGATGTGTGGCGTCAATATTTTGGTTTCATTTCATTTTCCCAGGAGCTCTGGGTGTTTAGGTCACGACCCGTCAGGGCCACCCCTCTGCTTTCTGGGGGAGCCCCCAGGGGCAGGAGCAAGCAAAGGCACATCACCCAGCGAGGGTCGTCGTGTTTATCTGGTTCCCACAGCCTCTCACACCACAGCCCGTGGAGGGTCACCAAGACACGGAAGACCAGCTTCCAGGCCCCAGACGAAACCCGCCCAGCTCCCAGCCAGTCCCCTTCCTCCTTGCCTGAAACAGCAAACCCAAGGCACTCAGAGAAACGTTTTCCATGGAAACCCAAAAAAGCTGACTGAGTTCATAGACTGTCTCAGGAGACATCAGGGTGCCTAGGGAAGGGCACACCTACCAGGCCTCCCAAAGTGCATCATTTAAAGTCCTGGGCGAGGCAGGCAGGCGGGCAGGGATGCTTGACTCCACACTCCTGCAGGGCTAAATGCGGTGCCTCAACTCCGTCTTGGCCACTGCCGCCCGGTGCACCTCGTCAGGTCCATCAGCAAAGCGCAGCGCCCGGGCCCACGCGAAAAACTGGGCCAGTGGGTAGTCACTGCTCAGCCCTGCTGCTCCAAAGGCCTGGCAGACACAGGGTGGGGGCAGAGGTCCTGGTGAGCCTCAGCCCCGAGAGCCAGGACCAAGCACCTGCTTGGAGGGGCTCAGAGCAGCCATCTTGCCCGTGTCCACTGTAACCACTTGCTCAGGGCTCAGACTTTGGGGAGAGATCTCTGGGCCTGCAAGCCAGTGTAACGCCGGCCAGTGTAAATAATTCCCTCCGCCTCTCTGAGTGCTGCCAGGTTCCCTATAAAAATCTGCTATAACTGCAGTATTCCAGGTGAGGTCACACTTGCTGTCCCATGGATGCCACACTCCCAGGTTCGTGCTACACAGTGGCGCATGGCTAGGAAAGCTCTGTTGGGGCTGGGTGTTTAGATTTGGGAGGGAGGCGTCTGGCCATGCTTAGGAGGCCAGGCGCTGGTGTAGTAAGGTCCTAGATTCCCATTTGTGCAAGCCAGCCCACTTGGGTGGACAGGTCATGTCACTCCTCCGTGTCTGTTTCCTCATAGTCAGCAAGGTGGTAGGAGTAGGATCCCCATAGGGCAGCTCTAAGGGGAGGAGAATCACATGCCCTGAGTGCGTGACCAGGGCTGGCAGAGTCTACAGGAGGCTGGACAGCCTAAGCGAGGGTGGGGGAGGACTCTGCATCGGCTCTGAATGGTTCGGACAAACCACAGTCTGCTCACCTGAATAGCACGATCAATCACACGGTAGGCCATGGACGGGGCCACCATTTTAATCATGGCGATGTCTAAAGCTGCAGCCTGCAAGGAAGAGGAGGAGATGTGCTTAGGAGGGCTGGACACTTGAGAAAAAGCAGTTTCACAGGGAGGAGTGGGAACAGTGCTCAGAACAGACCCCAAGCCAGACCCCCAGCTCCATGAGGCAGTCCCTGCCTGATGCACAGGAGGTGCCGGGCACCCAGCAGGAAGAAGTAACAACGGTGGTGACCACGAGGTCTGAGCAAGAGCCTGGTCAAGGCTATGAGCGTCACCAGCACACACAGGCTGTGTGGAGCAAGGCCTGAGCTTATCTGAGGGTCACATCCAGCAAGGTCTCCAACCCAACAGTGAACCAAGGTCAACCAGAACTCTAGGGACCAAGCCTCAAGCATCTGCCTGGATGAGACATTCCAGCCCGCCCCCCGAGAGCCTTCCCCAAGAGCCCAGAAGGTGAGCCTGGCTGGCCTCCTGTTATTGAGGCCTCCAGCTGAGGGGTGAAGGTAGTGCCATGGAGAGCTGGAGACAGCAGGCGTCAGCATGACGTCATGCCTGGCTGTGAGCAGGGTCCAGAAAGGTCTGTTTAAGGAATAGTGTCCAGCGAAAAGAAAGCTGCTCTTTGGGCTAATCCCTTTCTTACTCTCAGTGTGCCTGGTGCCTGCACCAGGGCCTGGAAGACCACACTGGAGTGCAGCTGCGGCTGGGGTCCTGTCAGGCCTGTCTTGGACCCAGACATTTACCGGCTTAGTAAAACAGAAGCTTCAGTCCTTGTCTTACAGTCCTTTTTTACACTTGCCACTTTTGAAAAGCTGCCCAAGCAGTTCCAAGAAGAATTGAAGCAAGATTTCTAATGTCAAGAAGCCAAGCTCTTTCTTCCTGGCTTGCAGTGTGAGGGAAAGATTCCTGGGGTGGATTAGGCCCTCTCCAGGCCTCAGGACCTCCAAGAGCACAGTCCAGCCACCCACCGCCTTCCCACCCACTGCCCTCCGGATGACCCTCCAGGCAGCCCCGTCCTCCTACCTTATTTCCGGCCATATCCATGAGGTGGGCCGCCTTCAGCACCAGCAGCCGGGCCTGCTCAATCTCCACCCGTGAGAGGGCGATGTCTGCCAGCAGTGTGCCCTGCTCCACCAAGGGCTTCCCAAAGGCCACGCGGGACTTCACCTGTGGAAAGGGGACACGTTCGAGCAGCCTGGGGTTAGTGCCCTGCAGAGGAACCTGTGGGAGCCACCCAGGAGAGAGTGGGCAGAGAGGGAGAGTGAAAGCAGGAGTGTGTGATCCGTTTGCCGGCTCCCCCGTCATGGCAGGTCCAGGAGAAGCTCCAGCAGATAAGGTTTATTCGTGTGCACTGCAAAGCTGGCTGCACAAATTACTTCCAGGAACCCCACTTACCGAGGGATCCGGCCCCGCAGTCCAGGTCCGGCTGCCAGGCAGGACAGTTCAGCTGAGCTGAGCTGGCATCTAGCCAGGGTTGCTCTGGGGATTAGCAGGGACCACAGGGGCCGCCGGCAGCGGGGGAGGGCGCCCTCTGCCGACTGTGCAGGTCCCGCCTCCGCCCACGCCCGGCGCAGCGCGCCTGTGGTGACTGCTAGAGCTACCGGGATTCTGGAGTCCTTGAAAAGCACGGGGGTAAATCGCAAAAGGTCATCAAGCAATCTTTGCTGTTTCTATAACTAAAAACAGTATTATTATGCAAATAACCTGTCTCACAGCAGGAAACGTATCAATTTTCAGACAAAAAAATAACCCTAACACCTGGGGATCCCGTCATCTGATCCCTTACAGTTAATATCTGGGGAGTATCCTTCCAGACTTCCTACCTACTACCTGTGTGTGTTGTTGTTTTTGTTTCCAAAAATGGGGTCCTATGTGGAGGTTTTTTTTTAAGAGTTTATAAGGAACACTTCACTAATGTACGAAATAGAATGTGATGGCATGGCTTTGGAATTTTACTCCACAGCGTACCAGGCTTAGCAACAAGGCTTCCGATGCACAGGCGATTCCCACCCAGCCCTTTGCTATAAGTCAGCTAAGTCAGTGAGGCGATGCACTTCCTCTGCAGGTCCCTAATGACTCCCTGGTGACCAAGTCCTGAGGGCAGAGCTGCCGGTCAGCACCTCACACCTTCTGGAGGCCTCTGACACGGTGCTACACAGCTGTGCGGGGCATTGGGCTGAGCTTCAGTGCCGATGGGGCTGCGTGGGACATCTGAGGCCTCAGCGAGGAGCTTTTGATTCTCGACGATCTGCTCCGTCGCAGCTCAAAAGAGTGTAAACACAGCAACTTTGCCCAGAAATCCGAGCACATTGAACCACCCCTGTTCTTTGTAGAATTTCTTGGGAGACATTTGTCTGATCTCAAGAGTTTGCTTCGTCTTTGTGAAATGAGAGCAATAGCTCTTCATTACGTGGGTGACAACTTCCGAGGGGGCACAGCTAAAGAAAAGTGTCGGACATGCTGGAGCAGCAGAACCCCGGGGCAGGAACCCCTAGGGTCCTGGGATGGTTTTGAAGGATGACCGACAGGACAGTGGGAGTGGCCTTTGCTGGCCTGGGACCTTTTGGACCTGGGCACCTCGCCCTCTGCTGCCCCGGGCCTGGCCTTTCCCTTCTGGGGCCCCACACTGCTTAGAACTCAAACTCCAGCAAGAAGCGCAGGCAAAGCAACGTAGGATCAGTTTCTTGGCAAGAGCATCACCTCCCTTCCCCTAAGGCCGCTCTCAGGAAACTGATAGAATCTGAGGTGACAGACAGGCGGCCAGCGTCAGAGCTGTGCTGAGGAAGCACTCACGCGGGCCTTCATGAGCGCCAGGGCCCTCTCCGAGTGCCCGATCAGCCGCATGCAGTGGTGGATCCGGCCGGGACCCAGTCTGCCCTGGGCGATCTCAAAGCCTCGGCCGGGGCCCAGGACTATGTTCTCCTTGGGCACACGCACTTGCTCAAAGAGGACTTCGCCGTGGCCACCTGAAAGACCCAAAACATTCCTCCTGAGCCCCGTCTTCCACCGTTTCCTGGGTGCCTTACCCCTCGCTGGGCTCTGCTCACGAGCTGGCAGTACTCCTGCCCACTGCTCAGTCCTCTAACTGTGACGTGAGGAGGGAAGGGGGCAGCAAGGAGCATATTAAAGATGGGAGAGAAATCACAGCTTTCATAAAGTCAGAGTCTCCCTGAAGCTGCAGCTCCCTGGTGCCCTGTGAATGTAAATGTGGACACTTTGAGAGAGAACGCGCCCTTGTGAGAAGCTCCGGCCTGGGGGGCGTCCAGTGGACCTACAAGGGAGTGGAGAGCGCATCCTGCCTCCCGCCCAGTCCGGTGTGGCCTCCTCATCTCACAGCGTCCTGCTTGTCTTCTAAGTTTTTTGTTTGTTTTTTTTTTAAAAAGATGTATTTATTTGTGCATACAGAACTGGGGTACAGGCCAGAGGTGCAGGGGCGGCGAGAGGCTTCACCAGAGACAGAGTGGGGAGCAGAACAGACAGTGCACTGAAATTCACTGTTGAGGGGAGCAGCGGGCGAGACAGGAGAGGGCTGCCGCGCCCTGTGGGTCAGCTCCCTGACTGGGGATCGAGCTCGTGCTAAGGTGGCTGTGATAGCCTCAGAGTGCTGCACTTTTAACCCGTTGCACCACCAGGGAGGGCCCTGTCTTCTAAGTTTTAAAGAGAAACCAAAAATGTACGAATGCCTGTCTGAAATTTGCCTGTGTGACTGATACTCACAGATGGAAATGAAATGCGGGAGCATGTGGCCCTCCAAATGTTGCCCTGGCCTGAACGGGGCGGAATCCTGGATAAGGGGTGCCCACAGCCTGGCCCAGGCCCACGGAGCGCTGAGCTGCCCCCGGGGCTAACCTGGCGCGTCGTCCAGCCCGTACATCGTCAGAGGCCGGATGACTCTTATCCCTGGGGCGTCCATGGGAACCAGGAGCACTGACTGCTGCTGGTGGCGCGGGGCATGAGGGTCTGTTTTCCCCATAAACACACAGAGTTGGCATCGAGGATCCAGGATGCCTGCCAGGAAGAGAAAGACAGAGCCCATCATCTGATGCCAGGGCCACCAGCTCTCTTTCCAGACACAGGGCTGGCCGGGATCGGCAAAGCCAGCACGCAGACAGCTCTTTACAGCAACACATTATCTGATGAGTACTGGCAGGCTCTTGACCAGAAATAAGAACAAAGAGTTCGGTTTTGGCCCCGGGAAGATGGAATCCAACCTCATAAGAGCAATTTTGAAAAAGCAGCATTGTGTTGCGCTGCAAATATAATTCAGAGACAAGAGGCTGAAACTACGATTTTCTCCCTGGCGGCCCGCTTGGGTGTTCCCAGCGGTGGCTGAACACACGGTTCGTGGCCCAGGTTCCAAATCACACAAACCCGACTCCTGCTTGCTTAGCCAGGGACTGGTGCCGGAGCTAAGTGACTCGAGGCCCTTGAGTCTGTTCTCTCTTCCTCCTGATATGCATTGTGGGGACCCGGTGAGCTGAGGTCCCCACAGCAGGGGGGGGCCTGCAGAGCTCAGATGGTGAATTCAGGGCAGGGGGTGCCGCTGAGGACGAGGCAGGCAGAAGGGGTGAGGGAGTGTACGGGAGACGCCCAGTGTGCATGCAGGCAACGGGTAGCCCGCATTGACCCCTGAGCCATCGAGGCACCCCCTTATGTCATCTGGAAGAGGAGCCGGCCCTGCCACTGTCCCGACCACAGCCGGCAGAGAGACCTGCTGACCAACACAGACCCACTGAAGTGGAGCTGAAAACCGAATCTCAGACCAAATACCTGAGATCCACCACTTGTGTCCATTGATCACATAGACGTCACCCTCCTCGCTGATGGAGGACTCGATGTTGGTAGCATCTGATGAGGCCACCTGAGTGAGGACACCTGTGGTCAGAGCTGGCAAGCTGTGTTCCTGGGCAGCAGGCAGGCCCGGGCGACAGCTGGCCCAGGAAGTAACCCCATGGGTGGCGGCGCAAGCGAGGTACCTGGGGCTCAGTCATAGCAAAACAGGAGCGGGCTCTTCCCTCCAGCAAAGGAGTCAGCCAGCGGGCCTTCTGCTGCTCGGTGCCGTACCGCACCAGAAGTTCCATGTTCCCCGTGTCTGGAGCAGAACAATTAAATATCTGAAAAGGACAAAAGGTGCAGCAGTTGAGGTCCACGTCCAGATTTAAAATGCCAAAACCCTGAGAGCAGGGACTGCGTCTCCTTCCGAGCCACAGGTCCTCCGACACCCTCAGGGTAACTCTCCCTCTCTCCAGAGACGGGCAAAGACACACAACATTTGGAATATAGAAGCTCAGTCTCCCAAACGCCCAGCCATGGGCCTCCGTGGTCCAGAGAAAGGAGACACACAGAAGGCAGCCTGCCTTGTGCCCCGCAAGACTGCCTCCTTCTTCGCCTCCAGCCACCCACTGTCCTCCCACACTGGACGTTCAAGCTGGTGTTGGGCTCCTCAGGCAGTGCAGGCCCCGGGGGCTGGGCAGTGCCCAGAATGCAGGAGGGTGGCTGGTGTGCTTGAGCGGGACTGGAATATTCTCCCAGCTGAGAGGGCCTTAAAGACGGTACCTCGGGGGCATACAGAGACATGCCCATGAGTTCACACAAATGTGCATACTCGACGTTGGTCAGTCCTGCTCCGTATTTTCTCTGGGGATCAGTCTCCAAGGGTAGGAAAAGGTTCCAAAGCCCTTCGGCCTTGGCTTTCTCCTGTCACGGGAAGCACAAATCAAAGAAGTACAGTGAATAGTTTAATTGCTCCTGAACCAGCTTCCTCTATGAGGCACAACTTTGTTCCTGGAATTTCTAAATGTAGCTCTTGGCTGGGTAACTAGGAAGCCCAGCCCGGGGATGAGGAGCTCTGGCCCTCGTCAGCCAGCCAGGTCTGCCGGGAGACCTCAGGCACGAGACTTGATCATCCTCCTCTGTGAAACGGGGCCCTACCAGCCAGCAGGACCACGGAGTTACAGCAGTGGAAATGGACTGTGGCTCCACAGGAAGCCACAGAAGTGAGTGGGAAGGCTACTGGGAGCTCTCGAGACGGACCGAGAGATTTGAGAACAAGGCTCGGAAGTGAACAGGAACCCGATAGCCCAGAGGCTTGCCACTGGCGGGCCGGCGGGAGCGCCACAGCTGTGCACTGAGTGCCAACTGTTTTCTGTCTTGAAAACGCTGTTCATGCCGCCAGTTCCAGGAAGGAAAGTCATGCGCCCTCGATAGGCCCACATGGCCACATCTCGGCCAGGGCAGGTGGGGCTGGCACTTTCACTCAAGCACAGCGGGAGAGGGAATGTTCCAGAGAAACATGGGGGGCTGCCCCCAAGAGAAAGGGGAATGTGGACTCCAGGCAGCCCAAACCCAACCAGTGTGCAGGCTGGTGTGAACCATGTGAGCTAACGAAGCAAAACGGGCCTGACAGCGAAGCGGCCGAGTAAGCCCTAGTGACCATGGTGATCACCCTCACTTCTCATGGGACGGTGCCACTGCCCTGACTTTTACATGTATATCGGGCCCAGGGTCCATGTCACACACTTCTGAATTAGCCCACACACGTGTCTCGCTGCGTTAGCTAACTCAGCGTGCAGGGACAAAGGGGCAGATCAACGGGAACAGATCAAGTAGGAGTTTCTGAGAAGTAGATAGGGGAATATATCTGCTCATCTCCTTGTGGAAGGGGAGAGGAAAAACAGAGAAGCCCAGAAGCTCCAGATTTGAATCCAGGTGCTGTTATTTCTAGCTGTGTCCTTGGGCAAATCTGTTTTCGCACCTTCCAATCCAGGTCAATAATGCTGACCTCCAGGCTTTGTAAAGTGCATTGTAAGTGGCCAAATACTTCTCATTTGTGGGTGGTAATGACACTTTGGATAAAAGCCACGAGCTACAATTTTACCCGTGGACCCCAAATCTTCATGAGCGCTGTGATTCCCACTCAGGTCCACCTAGAAGCGCAATCCTCACTGGCAGAGGTCTCCCTGGGCCACATTTCAGAGTCTGGAGGGTTCACTCCAAGACTCTGCTTTCTAATGCTTCTGTGTGTGCTAAGCCTGGCTGAGAGGCCAGGCTTCTGTCAGCTGGGGGAGGGGGTCAACGTGCGAATCAGCGTGTGGAGGAAAGGGCAGTTCACACATTATTCATGGGAGGTCAGAGTGGTAAGCACATTTTGGATGAAATGCCAATGCAGTGGTCTCATTCTTGGACTGGTATATTTACTTTGTGAAATGTATCGTCTAGGAACAGTAATTGCGCTGTGAAACATAAGAACACGCCATGCACCCGCCTGGTAGGAGCCCCGCTGCATGAACCTCAGTGGGTCAGGCTGAGTCTTCTGCTCCAGAAAGTGGGGGGCGGGGGCAGGACACTCCCTGCTCCCCGGCAACGAATGTGTGGGGCCTAGGACCTGCGCCTGCCGACTGCAGATCCCCACCTCAGATTCCCAGTCCTACGCCGTCTTTAAGGGCAGCTTGGTAGCCTCCTGCCCACGTCCCCTGAAGCCTGCCTGCTTTGCCCTGGCCTCTGCCTTCTGCTGCCCTGGCCACGCCAGCAGCTGGCCATCATCCCTTGCTGATCAAGTGACTCAGAGTTGGCTCCTGTAGCCTGCACCACGCATGGGGTCCTTCGGTCGGGCTGGGGTGCGGTGGACAAGGTGTGGGACCGGTCACCCGGCAGGGGTCTCTCTCCAGGTGCTGACATGGGAAAGTGACCCAGCATTACATCACAAAGCCGGCAGGAGATTCAAGGTAGAGTGAAACCATGACAACCTAGGGAAAGGAAGTATGTGGGTATCTGATAAAAGAGGCGTTAGGGGCTGATACACCAACCGGTTGCCAGTGACAACCTCGGAGGCGGAGCATTGTAAAGGACTCTCGGTGCTGGGTGCTGTCCTAATGCTTGAGCTTTGTCAACTTTTGCAATAGGTTTGTAACTAGGAAAAAAGTCATAATGCTATTTTTTTTTTAAGTGGATGATGGCTGTACCACTACCATAAAGTAGATGATGGCAGAAATATGTGCTGCTAACCTGAAATTACTTAAAATTAAAGTGAGTGGGGACGAGTCCTGACACAGAGCTGGTGGTGTTTCTGTTGACCGGCATCGGTGTTTCTGTGTGTCAGCAGCATACACACAGCTCACTACTGAGTTGGCCCTTTAGCTTAGGTGTTGTGGATTCTGTAAAGGCAGACTTTATTAAATGACGTGTTGTTTTTGTTCTTTTAAAAACTGAAGTTACAGTGCTTTTTTTAATTTTTAATTTGTTTTTGTATAGAACTGGGGTGGAAGTCAGAGTTGTGGGGGATGAGAGGACTCACCAGAGACAGAGTGGGGAGCAGAACAGGTAGGGTGACTTAAATACACTGCTGAGGGGGCACCGGGTGGGTCAGGAGAGGGCTGCTGTGCCATGTGGGTCACTTCCCTGGCCGGGGATGGAACGCAGGCCATAGCGGCGAGGGCGTTGAGACCTAACCGCAGGCCACCAAGGAGAGCCTGTTGATGGGTTTTAAATAACGCTGTTTCAAAGGCACAGAGTTCCAATGTGCATTAAATAAACCTGCCTGTGCTGGGTCAGAAGCCATAGCCAGGGCCTCCGTCTGCCTGGGCTGCACTCCCTGCCTGAGGTGATGGGAGGCAAAGAGAATTGCACTCAGCTGTCCTTTCCTTCACCCTGGGGAGGGCACCCACCCGCTGGACAGGCTGAGGGTTCGCAGTGTTACCAGGGTCTTAGTGTCACTCAGGCTGCTTTCCCTTGAGGCCTTCCAGCAGCGGCGGCGGGGCCACCTCTCTGCCGAGACCTGGCGCCGCCGCAGCTCTGGCCCAGCGGGTACACATGCTGCTCCGTGAACTGCCGCGGCCGCCGGTACAGTGCCTTGACCCGGGGACAGGCCCTCTGCAGAGATGAGCAGCCCACCCGCTGGGTGTGAACAGGGGCAGGTCCTGGCAGGGAGCTGTAACTCCTCGTGCCACGGGGGCTTAGCAGGGACTGTGGGCCAGCCTGGGTGTGGTGCCACCTCACTGATGGTTTGGTGGCGGGCATCTCTTTGAAAACTCGGAAGCCCTCTTTGATTGCAAAGTCCCACGCGAGGTTCGCCATGAATTCAATCAGTTTCCCACTCTGCTCAGCAGCCGCCGAGCTCGCTTGTCCTACATGGAGCAAAGAAAAAAGATTAGTCCCAAGTAACTGCATACCAGGTGAAGGTACCACTCTGTTACATCAGCAACGTGCTGAGCGCTCGCCAAGTGGCAGACAACGTTGCACGTGTTACTAAGCTCAGGGGGTTCCCAGAGCAGTACGGCTGCTCTGACCCCACTTCACAGCCGGGCTCTGCATCTGAGGAGAAGCGCCTGGGTAAGCCCACAGGGCTGGGAGCCAGTGGGCAGCTCAGCCTGCTCCCTGCTCTTTACCTCTTCTTGTCCTGCAGAAACTAAACTAAATCCAGGACACCCCTAGTCACTGCTGCCACCAGCAGTGCGTGGGCTAGAGGAGCCAGGGAGGGGCAGGGCCATGCCAGCCATGGTGACATTATCTGTCAGCTTCCAGGAGCCACTCTGTGGAGACTGACACCATCACCAGCACTGCGGGACTCATCCTCACCTCACTCACTGCCTCCGCTTTGTTTAATACGTCACCAGGACTTTTTAAAAAGAACTTAAAACAATTTTTTGCATTAAGATATAGCAATGGGGCCTTCCCTGGTGGTGCAGTGGGCTAAAGCGCAGTGCTGCGAAACTGGCCACGGCTGCTTCAGTGAGTTCAGTCCCCGCCCGAGGTGGCCCACAGGGCACACAGCCCTCTCCTGTCTCACCAGCTGCGCCCTCAGCGGGGTGCCTCGGTCAGTCTGCCTGTTCCGCTCCCCGCTCTGTCTCTGGTGAATCCTCTCACCCTCTGCACCTCTGGCCTGTGCCCCAGTTCTTGTATGCATAAATAAATAATCTCTTTTTTTTTATCAGAAGAGGGAGAAAAAGGAGATATAAAGAGAAAATTGGGAGGCCCAAGAAACTCTACAATAGTGTTTATCTTTGAAGAATGATTTAAGAGGAACATTTTTTATTTTTCTCTCTGATGAAGCTTTTAGCCTGTGTGGTTTTACTTTAAACTTTTTGGTACGTTATTTTAAATATTTAAAATTGTAAAGACGATATATATGACACATACCTAATGGCAAATGGTTGATTAATTGAATCCTAGAGAACTTGACTAAGCCGGACCCTCTGCGCCACCCTGACGGCTCCTGCAGGCCCCGGGTTACCTGTGAGCGAGCACTTGTAGACTCCCTGCAGGATTGCGGCCACGCGGAAAAAGGAGAAGGCCATGTAGAAGTTCCAGTGCTCTATGGCAGGGATCCCCATGTGGCGACAGTACATCCTGCTGTATTCCTCTGCAGTCGGGATTCCCAGCTGAGCCAACTCACAGTCACTCAAGCCTGAGGCAACAGAGCCACCCGGCAGGCCAGCCGTCACAGCCACCCGCCGTCACAGCCACCCGCCGTCAGAGCCACCCGCCGTCACAGCCACCCGCCGTCACAGCCACCCGGCGTCACAGCCATCCGCCGTCACAGCCACCCGGCAGGCCAGCCGTCAGAACTCCCGCTCCTCCAGGCCAGTGAGTGTTTTTTCCTAACATCTCTTCTTCCTTGGAAATTACCTTCACAACTGTGTCTAAGCTTTTATTAGGTATTTCCAGGTTCTACCTCCCACAGGGAGGCTGGAATCCAGGCTAAAGCTGTTATTCACAAAAATCTTTAAAAAGTTACAGACTGAAAATAAAAAGCTTCAGACTAAACTGGCAGTAAAGGCAGGAATGGGCCTTTTCAGTTCTACCTGGAGCACAGCTCAGGAGGCAGGCATGTTATTGAAAGAAAGGTCCCACGAATTATGAAAAAGATATTACAACAAATAAAAGAACACTACTTTTCTTCATTTTTAACATTTTCATGGCTCAAGAGCATGTCATACACACCATTCCTGGGAGTTTATTCTAGGAGTAACCCTTAAGCACAGGCAAAGATGGTCATTGCATTTTTGTGGGGACAAAGGAGAGGTAATATTTTTTAAAAGGGGGGGGGGACAAATTAAATATCCAATAGGAACCAAACCATGTCTTAAGTTAGTTCCACAATAAATTCTATCTTGTCATTTAAAATGATGCCACAGAAAAAAATACTGAATGGCATGAAAACAAGTATATAATTAAGAGAACATAAGCCAACATAAAATCACATAATCACATTTCCATTAAAAAAGTGTGGATACCCATTAAGAAGGATGACCAGATGAAACAGAACTAACTAGCGATGGTTTTACCTGTTGTCAGGCTCTCACATGTTTAAATAAATGAAATAGAAATGAGTTGGCTGAGCGGGTAAGAGGTGCCCAACCACAGCTTCTCCCGCTCGCCACCCCGCCCCACCGCACGGGAGGGCATCTCAGCTGCATTTTCTCCCGACATCAGCAGCCCCTCAATTTTACACACCAGCGCAATCACACTCTACTTTCCTGCCCAGCATTTGAGAGTGGCGCGGGCTCCACCCCATCCTCCCTCAGCCCCTGGCTCCACCGCAGTGCCTACCTCTCAGCAGAGGGAAACTAGAGGGCAGGTAGTAAGCCATGCAGCTGAAGGCCACGTCTGCCAGGGGGTCGCCCAAGGTGGAAAGTTCCCAGTCCAGGACAGCAAGCACCTCTGTCTTCTCTGGATGGAAGAGCAGGTTGTCCAGCCTGGAGAGGCCACAGAAGGAACAGGGAGGCTGCTCTGAGGAAACTGATGAGCAGAGTGTCCTCTGAGCTGGCTGCCTGTTCGCCCCTCAGCGAGCTCCCCAGCCTCCCGGCGCCCCCGAGCCTGAGCTCACAGCTGTCTGTCTGTCGTCTACCCTTGGGCCCAGCTGATGAGGATGCCAGCGGGCGAAGGGAGGAGGCCTGGCTGGCTACTTAGTCCCCCAGCACACAGCTGAGGGCCAGCACTGTTCCTCTCCTCTGCCCACAGCTCTGGTCAGGCCGCCTCTGCACGCAGCTGCCCCCCTGGGGTCCGGGGGCTATTCCTTCGCTGTGAAGGCTTTAAAACAGTGCTGCAAATTCTCCGACTCTCCCATCACAAAAGGTAGATCCCAGTGCAAGTCTCCCTTGAAGCAACTCCCTACTGACCATCGAATGCAGGTGGAAGGGGTGCTGAGTGACTCCAGAGCCCAGGGGGGACGCCAGACCAGCCTGAGAGCCACCCCCAGGGAAACAGTCCGCCCTGTGCCCACATTGCAGGTTTGTGAGCAAAGTCGTCATCCTCATCTCCAGCCACATAGCGTGGGAGAAACCTTTGTGCAGCGGGGTGACTGGAGCCCACGCCTGGGCCTGGGGGTGATGACAGCTGCCCACGCCAAAGGTACACGCCAAAGGTAGGCTGGGGCTGAGGACCTGCCTTCCCGGGGAAACACGGGGGCGCAGCGCGAGGGCAGTGACTCTCGTCACTTGTTGCATGTAAACCTGCACCCTGCTGACGCCTACCTGAAGTCCCCATGCACCACCGCGGACCTCTGCTGCCTGGGCAGGTGGCGCGGCAGCCATTCAACCAGTCTCTCCATCGCAGGGACGGTGCTGGTTTCCGAAGCTCGGTACTGCTTAGTCCAGGTTTGCACCTGGCGTGAAAGGTAGTCTCCTGGGGGCAAGAGCATTCAAATCTGGGGTTTCCACGACCTCCACGGGTTTCCACCACTCGCACAAGTGCTGGAACCCTGCAGCGCTCTGCGGCATCGCCTTCCTGTGACTGCAGTTCCCAGATGAGGCTCCTGCCGCCCCTGCTGGGAGCCACTGGCTGTTTGGCAGCAGCAGTGTGTTCTGGGCACTGGTCCCAGCCACCTGGCTGAGGGTCGGGCCCCAGCCCTCTCAGAGGTCCTAGGAGCTTCCCAGTGGCCTTTCATCAACCCCTTTTTGGCTAAACAACAGTGACTAAGAGCATGGCTGCCAGGGCTGGACCACCAGAACTGGAGTGCCAGATCTGCCGCTCTGTGTGGCCCCTGGCAGGTACTTAATCTCTCTGTGCCGAAGTTGCCTCATCCGTGAGATGACCCTCACAGAGCTCTGGGAGGATACACTATGGAAAGCCCCTGGAACTGCCTCAGCAAGTGCCATCTTACTCAGTTGCCTGCCAAGAGCCCCAACAGATACCACACTTGAGGAACTTGCAAGTTCCATCTGGGATGGGACGCTGGGAGGAGTTCTGGAGCCACTTGGACGGAAGCTGAGCTCTCGCAAGGATTTAACCTCTCAGCCTCCAGTGCTTTCTCTTCTTGGCACAGTGAGTGTGGTAATGCCTGTATCCCACTGGATTGTCATGAACGCTACAGGAAATCCTCTTACCGCTTGTCAAATGCAAGTAACATGGCACCGTGGTCATTAACACTGTCACTGTTAACTGTCAGTTACAATTGTTGTTATTATTGTTAATGTTTAAACATTAATAAATATGTCAGGTCCCTGACTGTAAACTATTCTCTCATCAAAGAGAAGAAGGTCCTGGAGGTTCAGGGTCTGGAGGCCAGGATACAGGCAGAGCGCTTCTGTGGAATCCACTACCTGTTGGGAGTTTCAGCCACCCGCCCTTCAGGGCGCCCAGCTGAGCCGTGAGAGATGGAGCTGAAAATCCCTGATTATGCCAAAATGAATCACGCCTTTAGAACTAACTTCCTGTGTTCAAGAATGACAGGATATGAAGGTAGCAGTCAATGAAACCATAAGGAAATAATCAAGACAAATCTATTATAAAGACAGCTGACCTGGTCTCTTAAAAAATTCATTAAAAAAGTGGGGGGACTTGAGCCCAGAAAAAAAAAGTGGGGGGAGGGAACTACTCTGGATTCCTTGATCAGCTACTGATGGGAAAGGAACCCCCCTTACAAAAGCTATTGCGGGGGTAATGAGGAAATCTGAGTCTGAATTAGACAGCCTTGGAGATGGCCGAGGCCTCTGCCACCAGGCATGCCAGCCAGGCTGCCCCAGGCCTCTGGTGCTGTGTCTCTCGCCCCCAGCAGCCGGCCAGGCTGCCCCTCTGGGAGAAGAGGATGATGTGTCCCTGCTGGTCCGTGGTTGAAAGGCTCTTTGTGACAATTAGCCAGTTCCTAGAGGGTCTTTGTCAAAAGTTTCTATTGATTAGAAAACATGTTTGTATGTGCTTCTTTCTTTAAACAAATTTAAATGTGTGCTCTTGAACAGAAAAGACATTCACTTAGCTAGAAATGAAAGTGGCAAAGGAGACACATTGATGGCTTTCTCCAGCTCTCTGCCAGCCACTCAGCTGTCCCTAGAGGCAGCCCGAGGCCAGTCTCGCGGGTATCCTTTTGGAGATACCCTCTGCTGTGCTAGCCAACATTTAAATTTACCTAACTATACTTAAATGAACCTCTGCTCCGTAAGGGGCAGTATCTACACCCAGCCAACGTCCTGCCTGGCAGTTGGGCTCTGAAGGAACTTGAGCAGGAGCTGGGTCGTGAGCCTGAAAGATGATGTGGCTGCTTCCTGCCATCAGGCTCAAAACACAGTCGAGGTCTGGGAGATCCCTTCAGAGTTCTCGGCGTTGCTTTGTGCTGACAGGTCAGTGGGAAGGGCGTGAGGACAGTCTCCTCGGAAAACAAAAGGCCGAGCGCCTGCGGACAGCGGGCAGGAGGATCTGCCACCGCCCGAGCCGCCCACGCACAGCCCCGCACAGCCCGCCGCGTCACCTCAGTGTCGTCAGGCTCTGGAGCGGCTGCGCTGCCGCCGCCACACTGCCTTTCCCCTCAGCCCTGTGAGCGCCGGGCGCTTTGGCTAAAGGTCTTTAACCAAATCTTTACTATTGAGAAACTGCAAAGTGCCATGACTCGTCCATGACCGGCCAAACAGCATCTGGCTGCGGTCCAGCACCCTTGCCCTCTTCAAATGGGCCAATGGAGGTGCCGTCACTTGTCTTTGTCTTATGGTGCTTTTGCTGGTAGTGGGGCTTCCAGATAAATCTGAACTTCAGATAAACACACACATTGTCAGTGTATGTATTTTTCCTAAGGACCACCAAGATGGGGCACCCCTGGGTGATCAGATATGACCAACTGAGATTGACAGGATCTGGCTGCACGTGGGAGGGCTCAGGCAGTAAGGGTGCCCTCCCCTGGCGGTGCAACTCTGTGACTATGGCGAATCCACACTGGCCAGATAACCAGGAATCAGATCTCCTTGCACTCTACAAAGCAGAACACACAAAATTACTTGGTTTATGCCCAGCGTCTGTGTTCAGAAGCCTGGAGACAACTGCAGTGGTGGGGATAAAAGTTACAGCCGTTGGAACTCAGAACACTACACTTCAATGCCTCGTACTCAGAAAACCCTCAACAATATCAAATGCTGGCAAAAATGAGGAGCAGAAACTGTACAAACAAAACATCTTGGCATTCTGGTAGAAGAAATCTATCTGTTAAAAAGAACAGTTAGGAGATGGTTAAAGAAAAACAGAAGGAGGAACATGCTTTTCTGAACAAAATCCTTTCATTCACATCATTCAGCTACTGAAAAAAAAGTCCCTCAAATGACACTAAGAACTGATTTCATCCTATGTCATTTGGCGTGGTTCGTTTCCAAGAACCTATGAATGACGTTTAAAGGAGGGCTTACTACTTCGTAGGTGTCCTTGGCCAGTATCAGAAAAAGGAAAGATGAAGTTGCAGGGAAAAGAGAATCTGTTGTCTGTGACAGACCTCTTGCCCACGGATTTTTTGTAGGACAGAACGTCTAGGTAAGTGACTCCTCCATTAAAATGAAACTGAATTTCCAAAAAAGAAACTAATAAGCCCACCGCCCATTCAGCAAACACAGGTGGGTGAACACCCCAACACCATGCAAACCCCGAAAGCAGAGGCAGCAGTGAGGAAAGGCCCAGCAGCTCCGACAGACAGCCTTGTGCTCACCGGGTTTCCCGTAGCCTGCTAGGCCGGAGGCCTTGAAGTCCACGCTGTGGATCTGGCACAAAACTCTGTTCATGGCTGTGTATATGGCCCGTCTCTGGCTGGGCTCCAAGCCTGGCAGAGAGGGGTCTTTGTAGATGAGCCCTGGGCAGTACTCCATCACATAGAAGGGGGTGCCGATGACCCTGGGGGATGGAGATAGGGGGCTTCAGTGGCCCAGCTCTTGATGACAGCGTCAGTCATGCCAACAAGCTTTCTGCCTGTCCTGCATACCTGGGAAGGAGTTCTGACCAGAGTGTGTGGCATCTACCTTTCCTTCTGCACACAGCACAAAAGGCTGGAAGGCCCTCCTTCCAAATCAGCCCCACACACAGCCCGCAGACCTCTCTTCTCGGGTCCACTGTGGAAGCCACTGGAAGAGACTGTAGTGGGCTGTAGTCAACCAGCACGTTGTCGTGGAGGCTTCTGTGTCATACAGAATTAGATTAAATCCACCCTTGGACCCTTCCTAGCAGTGAGAGACTTTTAACAATTCTCTGAGCTTTTTTCCTAAATCTGTAAAACTTCACAGTGAGGGCCCTCCCTGGTGGCGCCACCGGTTAAAGAGCAGCACTGCAAGAGAGCTGCAGCCGCTTCAGGGCAAGTTCTATCCCAGGCCCAGAGGTGACCCACAGGGTGCAGCAGACCTCTCCTGTCTCCCCAACCCTCCCCTCAGCAATGTACTTCATCCATCTGCCTGTTCTGCTCCCCACTATGTCTACTGAATCGTCTCCCATACACACACCTGCACCTCTGGCCTGCACCCCTCTTCTGTATGCATAAATAACTTTTTAAAAGCAAAAACAAAACTTCACAGTGTAGTTGTATGGATTAAGGGAGCAATCATAGGTGGGTGCCTGGCATATGTGTCTGGTTCAAAAATATTCCAAAAATAGGCTTCTCATTATCAGAACCAAGTAGGATGAATGACACATTACGCTCACATGCTCAAATGTCATTAGTCCATCCTTTAGTCAGTCTAGAAAACATTTGACTAATCTAAAAAGTTGTCTTGAAAATTCTACCATCATAACTGTTTATCCTGACTTGAGCACAGGCTAAATATTAAGTTATATTGTTATTATTATTGTGAGTTATATTAAGTGTATTAATGCTGCTGTGATCACAAAACAAACTGTCTTTATTTTCAGGACTTAAGTGTTGTCTGCAAATTACTTCAAAAGTTTTAGTCAAAACTAATATATAAATATCGTAATATATTTATTTACAAAATTATTACACATATATTTATTATATGCAACATTTTATTTATGAAATTATTTTATTATAATCATTCTTTATATAAAATTTATATAGACACACACAGTGTGTACATACATCCAAAGAGAAAGCAACCATGGCAGAATATTCAGTGTTTTCCTCTAGATGAGTAAGATGGGTGTGCATTGATTACACTGTTTCTTCTTGTCATTTTTCTTATGTTTCAAAATACTCAAAATGAAAATGTTGGGAGGGAGACATACAGAAAAATTAAAACATTTTAGAAAGATAAAAATGAACAGGGACACACCACATGAAAGTAAGTGGACATGTGTTTTTAGTGTGAAAGAGATTTTTCAGCCAATTATCACAAAAGTGGGCTTTTCCTTATGTTTCAGGATAACCTGCTGGTTTTGAACAGCTAGGGGAGGTTGCAATAAAGTCTTTTTTCTCTTCTATCCAAATTTATCTGTCCTTACTCTAGGAAACTGGAATTGGGACAAGGATAAAGCTTTTTCTCTTCTGAAGCCTGAGCGTGCAGTGGAAAAAATAAATTGGAACATCACCTAGAATCTTCACAAAGGTCGAGAACCTTGGGGACAGGTACTCCAGCATTCTCCAGGGCTTTCATGACCCTGCCAGAACCAAAACAACAACAAAAAACCCTGAGCATCACTGGTGGTTGAATACATGAGACTTTCCTGAAGTTATTCTTCTGACTCAAAAATTAATACATGGTGAAATTTTTTAAATATTTAACTGACTCAAAAGCAGGCAAGAAGAACAAAACAGATGAGACAAACAAACAGAACAGTGAAGTCATAAATCAAACAAATCAATCATTGCATCCAGCTTAGTGGACTAACATCCCAACTAAAAGACAAACTTTGCTGCTGCCTAGCGAGCGCACAGGCTGGATGGAAGGACAGAAAAGAAGTGAGCGCACCCCTCAGCTCGCGCTCACTCTGCAAGAGGCTTGGAGCTAGTTTCTTAAACCCACTCTGCTAAAATGGACCTATTTGAAAAGCAAATTGTTTTATTTGCGATGGGATGTCATTTATTCTTTCAAGCATTTCATAATGGAAACACTCAAGCATAAAGACAGTAGAGACTTCGTTATCAACCTTCTTGAGTCCCTCCCTAGCTTCAACAACTGTCGACCTAAGGTCACCCTTGCTGTGGCCCAGCCCCACTAACAAACAGGCTGACCTTAGATGGAAGGAAACAGTGAGTGTCGGTGAGGAAGCGGCGAAAGGGGCCCTGATACAAGCCGGGGAGGGGAGAGCGGCAGCATGGAGCTGCTGGAGAACACTAAAGAAAATGTCTGATGAGGGGCCTCCCTGGCGGTGCGAGGTTAAAGTCTCCACACTCTGAAACTAGGGAGCTGCTGGCAGCCACTGCAGCGGTGATCTCCAGCCAGTCCATCTGCTTGTTCTGCTCCCGCTCTGACTCGGTGAGCCCTCTTATCACCCCACCCCACACCTGTGGCCTGCACCCCAGTTCGTGTATGATAAATAAATAAATCCTGAAAAAAAAATCTAGTGATCTAGCCATTCAGCTTCTGAGCATTCAAAGAGCATGAAAACATGAGTTCAAGAGCTGTCTGCATCTCTATACTCACTGCAGCATTATTTTCAATAGCAAAGCTATTGAAAAAATCCAAATGTCCATCAGTGGATAAAAAAGAGATATGTACATGTGCACACACAATGGAATAGTGATCATTTATTAAGAAACAAAGATGCACTCTTGATATTTCAAAAAGCCCAAAGAGAATCTCGTAATGCCTTTTTCTTCAGGTGGTTCTAAAAGGTTTAGTCTACACATTTAGGTATAGAAAAGAGAAAACCATCACCTGAGTAAAATTAGGTTCCATGTTCTGATTTGAAATAATTCTGATAATTCATCCTTGCAGTCTGAAACGCCTGGGGATCTGCTGAGCGCTGACTGAAGCGCTCGAGCCTGCTGGGTGGATGGAGCTCGCTGGACCCTACGAATTTACCTGAACTCCCTCTCAACTGCATGGGCAGATGGAAGGAGCGTTCCTGGGGGCTTCTTCCTCAGAACCAGCTGATGGTTGGCCAGCCTGACGTAGTAAGTTGGATTTGACTGCCCATGATCAAACTGAAGAAGTTCCAGTGGGCCTGTAAGTTTGAAAACAAGGAAAACTCAAACCTGCTCTGGAAGACAGACCTGGACGGACATGCGCCATGCTTTCCACTGAGTCTGCGTGTAGAAGATGCGGAACGGCCTGATTCGCCCTGAGCTGTGAGCAAGGTACCCTCTCCCTGGGTAGCAGAGGTGAGTGAGCCCCAGCCAGACCCTGCCAGTTTGGGCATCACATGCTCCCACAGTGTGGCAATGGCCACCTGAATCACACCACAGTAACTTTCTCACTTCGTACGGGTGTCCAATTTTGTCCTTCTTGCCAACTCCTGCTCCATGAAGAGCAGCCTTTTAGTTCTGTTTAGCAACCGCAAGCACCGTCATGGCAACCCATCTTGCTAAGTGGAATGTTTTAAGCCCAGGGATGAAAAGTGCCGTTGTGCCTCCCTCAGCCCCACTCGGCCAAGCCAGGCCTGCCACTGCTGACAGCTCAAAGGAGCCGTGTGGAGGCCGGCAGCTCACGCCGAAGCTGCTTTCAGGAGATGCGGTTTCCCACTTCACTAGGGTGAACTCGGTGACTCCCCTACAGAAATAGCTAATTAACCCTCAGCTTCGTAACAGGACTGCACTTTGGGCATAGATTCATTTCACTTAAAGAACAGAAAAGCAATGAGCATTTGCATGAGTGAACAGGCCAGATCGCAATAGGTCCCTTAGCTTTGTAGAGGCACTAAGAATGGTCCAGTCATGGGAAAACATCATCCTGTCATACATACTCCATACAGAAAGTCATTCTCGAGGATCAACTGGTGAGGCAAGACTTTGTCACCAGGTATAGCAATCTCTTCAAAAGTTCATGAGGCACCTGTTTTTCTGAGGGTGGAAGGTGAAGAATGAGAGAATGCCTTTGAGAAGATGGAGACAACATGTCACATTTTAAATGAGGCAGACTTTAAGTCTCTTCATCAAGTAGGCTGTCATCTCAAAAGCCCTAAAATGCTAGATGCCCAGGGCACATAGCCACCCCCCAGCTCCCTTCCTCCTTGACAGTGTTTGCAGGGAAGGCTGCCACACCACACCCTCAAGGCAGAGAGGGGCAGGTACACTTTTGGGGGCTCATATAAAAGGACGTTATGCTTTTCCCCCAAGCAAAACTGAAAGTAGCACTCCGAGGGGCCAGGGCCCAACGGCTGTCCCCCCTACATGGCCTCTCTGTCTCCAGCACATTCTGTGAGGGCCTGGAAATAAGAACCAGAGTGAAATTCCAGCCTTGGAAAGAGCCACCAACTACAAAAGCTTAAATACCTGTGGTCTGTGTGCCCAGTAAGTCTTTGAGGTACTTCTCCAAGGAATCTTTAGGAATTTCCATTGTCTTTCTCACAGCATGAGTGTTTGGAATAACCATTTTCAACCTAAAACCCAAGAGGGCTTCTAATTCCTTGACTGCAGTCTCTGGGTCGTTAACCTGTTTTCAAAGAGAACATGGGAACATGTACCACCGATCAGCCCTGAACCTCTCCTCCTGTCTGTTCCAAGAGGCAAACAGCCAAGAAATCTGTTCTCCGACTAAGGACTTTGGGGTCAGGATGCTCGGCAAATGAAGATGGTGCCACATGAGCTTGCTCTTCCCATTTAATTCCTAACCACATCACACTTTTTGGTTCTGGGAAGAGTGCGGCAGAGTGCAGGATCCGCCCACAGCGTGCTGTGCTGCCGCATCTGCTCTGCCCCGCTGGGTCTGCCAGCTTTATGATATGAACCCCAGCGCGGAGAGCTGGCCAGGCACCCCCTCTCATGTGGCCTCGTGTGCCTCGCAGCCATGACCGATGCGCCCAGGGTGGCTGGTAGCTAGTCAGCCTGACTGCCACCCTACGTGTCATAGCCACCACCTCCTTGTGTACAGGGTACACTCCAAGACCCCCAATGAATGCCTGAAACCTCAGAAAACCATAAACCATACGTGTTTCTAAACATGCATGATGAAGTTTGAGTCATAAATTAGGAACAATAAGAGATCAGCAAAAGTAGTTAATAAAACAGAACATTTTAACAATATACTACAGTACTAGTTACAGAAGAACCTCTTATGATATGTGGTATGCTATTATAGGAAACACTTTTGGAATATGGTTGACCAGGGGTAACTGAAGTCACGGAAGAAAAATAAAATGTGAGTGAAGGGAGACTACCGTACCTGTCTGCCACACTTCCCACAGAAAACAAAAGCAGCTGGCGACACAGACTCATCATTAATAAAAAAGACTATGGCAGCAAAGGAAGGCAACTACAGCTATGAATGTAAAAGGAATGCGCGGAAATGCTTGTGCTTTTGCCAAGGACGGGGACGCTACCTTAATGGTGTGAATACCGAGGCTGGCAGCTGCTTTCAGATTGGGCCCAAGGTCATCAAGAAAGATGGACTCGGAGGGCTGCAAGCCAAGCCGCTCCAGGCACAGCTTGTAGATCCGAGGGTCGGGCTTGCAGACACCTTCCAGACAGGATTCCACAACCTGCAGACAAGGCAGGAATGAGACACGAGAGTCCCTAAAAGGAGGCAGTGGTGCTTCCACATACACACTGGCCCAGTAAAAAAAAGGTGGGGGACAGTCGATATGTGTTATAACAAGTCATTAAAGAGTGTTATGACATAAAATGATAGCACTTCATTAGGTTGGATGACTTGGAAATGCTGGGTTACAAGCTGGGGGACAACTCAGAAACTAAGTTCCGGTTCAGACACAGTGAGTGACCTTGTGCAAACAGCGAGGCCAGGATGGGCTTCGGCCATCTCACTTATATTACTGCCTGTGAAACATGAATGAGTTCCCAAAGGACAAAGCATTTCCCTAATATTAGCTCTTATGGCTATGCAAAGCAAAAGAAAAGCTGTCCATTTCAGCTTCTTGGAAAGTATTTCACGATTTTTCCAGGAAAAAAAGCACTCTTCTACTGCTAGAAAAGAAACCTGACTTTAATGTCTATACTAAACAGAGGTTAACAAGTGAATTCCACAAGACGATCAATACCAGTGGGACCATCAGTGGCAAAGACAAAAAAGGGGTACTCTTGCTTTCATGCTAAGCGCCTCCTGTATCCTCATAGTCCTGCTTTATCCCTTCATCCGAGCAGGAACAGGGGGCTGCTGAGGCCTCAGGAGAACCGTGACAAAGCTGTCACAGGGTCAGGTCATTGCTGATCCAGACACCTCCCGGAAGTCCTCTCACATGGTCCATAGGGCTAAACCTCCTATATCGTGGACCTGAGACAGCCCTAGTGCCTCTGGTCACACTTCCTGGTCTGTCTGAGGACTAGACCCAAGCCCCTGACCCTCTCCTGGAATGACCCATGCTCTCCGCAAGACCAAGGACAAACCCGAGGACCCCCCTCTCCACTCCACACTCACATTAATTCAGGTTGGAGGAGGACTGCCCTTTCAGGTGAACAGGTCCTAAATAAACTGGACCTCTCATCTCCTCTTCCCTGTCTCCTAAGGGCTAAAGAGCAAGAAGCCCCCCTCTGAGAACCCATCTATGGAGGTGGCAGAGGAGTCAGCTGCTTTAGGGACCAATCGTTGTCTCCTGCTAACCTACTGTGAAAACAGATTGGGGGTGGGCGAGTGAACCCAGAACAAGAGGGTCAAGTTCTGACCAGCAGACATTACCTCTCGGGTGACCGTGTTCTGGGAAGTGAAAAAATTTTAGAGTTCAGTTTGATAAGAAGCTGGCTTTATCCTTCTGTTCTAGAGCTTGGATCACTCAAGGTTTCTATTACCTTCTTGGAACGTCCGGAACTCTGGGAACAAGGTCAGTGTATTCAAATACAGATTAAATTAGAAGTCTTATTTACTGAAGCACTGTTACAGGAGAGAAGTCTCCTTGGAGGCAAAGTCTCCTTCTCTGGGTAAGCATGACCGATGTCATGCAACACCAAAGAGGATTCAGGGCCTGAATCCCGAAACACCAACACCAGAGTCAGGCAGGGCCTGGCGAGGGGAGCGGAGCCCATTTCTGTCAGTCTTGCTCCAAGGAGGGAGGAGATTGACTGTGACGTCAGTTGCCAACACTTTGTGCTCTGAATTTCTGCCTGTCGGTTCTGCTAGAAGTTATGTGCCCAAACAGCACTACCCAGCAGAACTCTCCACTGCACTGCTGACACAGCAGCCACCACCATGGAGCCGCTAAGTCCCTGAGATCTGACCTGCCCCATTCGACACGGTGTCCGTTCAAGCCCCGCCCATGTCTGCTCACAGTAACTGCTTGTAAGAGTCTGTTTTCTGGCTGAATGAGGCTTACACATGTCATCTGTCAATAATTCACATCTATCCTGGGACAATGATCTATTTTCCATTGGGAAACTGGGGAATCTTTCTTGGAAGTAGCCTCCCGGCACAGAAAATCACCTCTTGACACGGTATAGTCTCAACGTACTTGGCGAGATCTGCATGTTGCTGCCGGGTAGTAGCCATTATCCACAGGTGATTATTTACGTTCCATTCATGAAAATGAAATAAAATTCAGTTCCTCAGAAGCACCAGCCACATCTCAAGTGCTTAATATTCATGTGTGTCTAGCACCAAGCTATTTCGACATGTCCCCTTCTGCACAACTGTTATTGGACAGGTTTAGGGATTAGTGACATGGAAATAAAAGGCAACAAGGTTGGTCTTTGAAGAGAAAAGGTCAAGGGATCCATTAAGTAAGGTCTGACGGAAGCGCCTGTGTTATGTGACAGTTAACGTTCAATCCAGAACAGAAGGGCATCAAAACTGAGTCTTCAAACAGCTTTCAAATCTATAAAGGTCTATAAATGTTTGACCTTGCTGTGAGGACAGTAAGATTTCAAAAGCCCTCTTTTCAAGCTACTGCTTTGACACCTAATTTAGTCAAATGTATAAACAAACAAACAAACAAAACCCATTTACTCAAGATCTGCTAAAAGGCAGCATTTGAAGTTCCATCCCCAAGTAGGGACAGAGCCCCTGTTTGGTTGTTCTGGATCCCTTTCAGCTTACCACATCAAACTGTTTCCGGTCCAGAGGCAAGAAGCTTTTCCCATTGGAAAGATAAAAATTATTGCTCAAGACTGCAGTCTGAAGGCCTTTGGCCCGAATTTGAGTTATGGCTTCAGTCATCACTGGGAACTGCTTTGCCACTTGCTCACTGGTCAGCAAGGAGAAGAAGGAGTCCACGGGCACGGACATCTTAGACTAAGAAAGGGGAAACAACCACTGGCCGTTAGGAAACAATTTCCCTTTTGCATGGAAGAACTAGGGTGTAGCCTAGAAGTGCAGGGGAGTTGGCCCGGGGCGGGGTTGAGAAGATTCACCAGAGATTGAGTGGAGAGCAAAAACACACGACTAAGGGGGACAGTGGGCAAAACAGGAGAGGTCTGCTGTGCCTTGTGGGTCAGCTCTCTGGCCGGGGCTCAAAGCCAGGCCTTCGCAGCGACAGGCTTAATCCCTAGGCCACTGGGGAGTCCCCAGAGACACTTAGCGTTGGTCACTTGCTACTGACTGTAAAGGGCTGGGCTTCTGTTTGTGGCCTGAAAGGGTAGTCTCCCTCGACCCTGAAGAACTTGGCCTACGACAGGCTGTGAAAACATGACTCAGAATTCGAGTCACAGTGGTTAGGGAGCAGAGCTATTTATAGCAAGATTCCAGTTAAATGGCTTCTTTTTTTCACTCAGGGGTTGTCAATTTTAAAAAGGATCAGAATCCCAGAAGAGGATGCATTAAACTTTCAAACTGTATTAAGCAGATGTAATTTAATTTTTAATGATCCAGGAGACATTTAATGACACTGGACTCCTCAGCATCACCATTACGGCTTCAGTTTCTGTTCAATTTTTTGCTTTTAAATTCAATCTGTGTGGTTTTGAGAACTCTTATCGTGTCTCAAAATCTGCAAAGCAAGTTTACTACCTTAAACACATACGCAGCTTTATTGATATACAACTTGCATTATCACATAACTCACCCATTTAAAGTGCAAGTGAAGGGTTTTTAATATGTTCGCCAAATTGTGCAGCTATCACCACAATCTTAGAACATTTTCATGGGCTTAGAATGAGCCCCCATGGCCATCAGCAGATACTCCCTGTTCCCATTCTCCTGTCCTAAAAAATAGCTCATTTCTTTTCTATTTCTGTAGGTTTGCCTGCTCTGGACACTTTAGATAAGTGGAGTCATACAGCCTGAGGCGTCCTCCACTTAGCATAATGCCTTCAAGGTGTGAACATGTCGGTGGCAACATACAGATGACATTTGCCATTTTAGCCTCCTAGTGCAGTCAGTGTTAATACGTAGATTAATAGAGTATATCCAACGGCCATCTTCACCATCTGTCCACAGAGCTTTATTGACTATATTTTAGCAGGGTTATTGTGAAGGTTTGATGAGTTAATAGAAACTAAGAGCTTAGAACAATACACAACACAAAGGAAAGCTTTAAACAGCTTTCTGAACAAAGTTGTCACACAGGCAGCCCTTGTTTCAGTCCATGTCTGGTAGAGCAGCTTAGTGAAGGCCGTGCTTACTCGTTCACCTGGGGGGTTAAAGTGGTGTACCTGAGAAAGGAAGAAATAGCTGAGACGCTTGTAATGGGTGTCTGGGTTGTCATTGTGTATCTGCAGTTTAACCAGCTTAAGGGCTGCGTGGCCCACTTACTGCTCTATGCAAAAAGCAGCGTGCGTGTCACTCACCACTTCAGAACAATGTCGCCCAAGTTCTTGTAAGAAATCTTCTGTTCTTATCTCTGCTCTCATAAACCTCATCCAGGGCCCATTTTCACCACCCGCAATCAAGGCTTTTAGTATCGTTCCAGAAGGGATTTCATTCTGTGCCTCCCATTCTATAGGAAGCAAAACACAGGATAAGGGAGACACGTTGACAAATGGCTGGGAATTCACAGAGATTTGGGAAATGCTAAGTCCCAGCCTCAGACCTCTAAGGCTGGTGGTACTACTTTGTATGGGGGGGGGGACGTGTGGAGGGGTAGAAGGGACAGACAGATATTTGCCTTTGAATTTTTTTATACTTTTGCATTAACTATTCGATAATGGTATGAAAAACGCAAATCCGATTTTACACCATCACAAGCATAAATCCCCAAAGGATAAAACCCAAATCAGAAAACTACAACTCTGTAACAGGAAACAATACAGAACATCCTTATGAATTTGAGGAAGAGACTTTCTTATAAAGTTCAAGCCACAGAGAAAAACACAGATGGCTCTGATGCCGTTAAAAATGCAAACTCTGGTACGGCAGAACTTAATAAATAAAATAAGTGGCAGGCCTGGAAGGGAGAAAATATTTTCAAGTGATATAAGACAGCACAGGCCATTCTTGCCAATCAATAATAAAAATGAGCCATTCACGGAAAGGGAAAACTCTGTCTTTTAGTGACCAATAAATATACACAAAAAGGGGGGAGGGAACTACAGTAATACATGACACTTACAAAAATAATCTGATTATATTACACCCCCTGAATATAATGCTAAAGTACTTGGGCTGTATTCTAAATATCTGGTCAAGTAATTTTGTAGTAAAATAACAGCCTAAATAAAGTGTTTCTGGAAAGGGCCAGATATGCATAATCCATGAATGAAAGGGCATAGCTATGTCCCCTCCCAAAGTTTCATTTTGAAATTTAAATTTGACATCATTTTCACATCTCACTAATATCCTGTCATCGTAGGTTTTTCCAACACTTGAAACCAAAACTAATAGAAGTAAAGTCAGTTGAACTGAGTAGGGGGAAAAGTAAAACTAGAGCCAGACTGATACAGCAAGGAGAGGAGACGAAAGCTGTGGTCTCACAGGCCCAAAAACAAGAGGGAGGAAGTAGTGACCAGAGGGAACATTCCAGCATGCCAGTGTCATAAGCAGCGCTATGGAAAGAGAGCCACATCGTACCCGTAACAGCGATGGCGACAACCACAGTTCATCACTGACTTGAGAAGGGGAAAAGAGTGCTTTCTACGCACTATTTCAGTCTCCCTAAAACCCAAGAGGTAGCTTCTATTTTTTAGCCCAGATTTAAGGATGAGGAAACTAAGACTCACAGAAGTAGAATAATTTGCCCAAGATGATGCTTGGAATTTGACTCAAGAGCCAGAATTTTTTTTTAAGATTTATTTATCTATGCATACAAGAACTGGGGTACAGTCCAGAGGTGCAGGGGGATGAGAGGATTCACCAGCGACAGAGTGGGGAGCAGAACAGGCAGGATGACTGAAAACACTGCTCAGGGGAGCAGGGGGTGAGAGGAGAGGTCTGCTGCGCCATGGACTTGAGCCACAGTGGCTGCGATAGCTTCATAGTGCTGAGACTTAACCCCTTGCACCACCAGGGAGGTCCAAGAGCCAGAATTTTACCCCCAGAATATGCTGCTGCCCACAGCCTCTCCCCTTAACATCCTCCCTTCTTCTCTACCCCCTCAGCCCCCCCACCCTCACCTTTCCAAAAGTAAAGCAGAAAGAAGAGCTCACCTGCAGCCACTCTGCCAGGAGAAGGAATGAGAACCCCACCCATATCAAAAATCACCGCCCGGTAGGGGCCGCCTCCAGAATGCGTCCATCGAGGGGTTCCCAGGTGCCTGTACTGCGCGTGCTTCAGGAAGGCTCCCCTCCATGCCCACTGGAGCTGAGAGGGCTGAAAAAGTCTCCTTAGCCACATGTCCGGGCCCAGGCTGCATGAGAAGAAAGACAGGGTAGTTTGCCTTTGCTGCCTCCAACCTAGACCTCTATCCCGATGCTCTGGGGGTGCCAGCTGGCTATTTCTAACTGATACCCACTTGAGAGGACAACCAGAACTGAAATTGGGGTGATCGCCCTCCCCAATCATTCCTTTTTCTAAGTTCTTCGTTGAAAGGCTCCACCATCCATTCACCTAGCTGCTCCAGTTAGAAAAGTGGGTCTTGCCCCGACTTTCTCACCCAGACCCCTCAACTCCCCCTGGGCAGTCAAGTCCCTGAGGATGTCATCCCCTTCTCTCCTCTCTCTAGCAAGCATCTAGCCCACAGATCATTGCCACAGCCTCCTACATGGTAACCCGGCCTATTCATAAAGCTCCTTCTAAAACTTTCCTCACTTTCCAACCAGTGTAATCTTTTCTAACTCCCAATTTGATCACATTCTAACCCATTTAAAATCTTCAATGGCTTCAGGCCCTCCCTGGTGGTACAACAGGTTAAAGCCCAGCGCTATGAAACTAGCCTGTAGCATGAGTTCAATCCCCAGCCAGGTGGTCCACAGGGCTCAGCAGACCTCTTGTCTTACCCGCTGCTCCCCTCAGCAGTGTTTTCAGTTAACCTGCTTGTTCTGCTCCCCACTCTGTCTCTGGTGAATCCTCTTCACCCTCTGCACCTCTGGCCTGTACCCCAGTTCTTGTATGCAAAAATAAATAAATCTTAAAGAAAAAAATTCAGTAGCTTCCGATTGGCTCCACATAAACTCAGCTCCTTAACTAGGCTGACAAGGTCTCTAGTATCTGCCTCCCTGATTTAGCCAACAACCCCACCCCACTCCTTTTCTCTCTTCACCTTAATCTGGGTGATCTGGACATGCAAATTCAGTTTCTTCAAACACAGGTTCTGCCCCTACCAGGGTCTTGCTTACGCTGTTTGGCCTGGATTGCTGCCCTGCACTGGTTACCTGGCTAATTCCAAAAGGTCCTTTAGTTGTAGCTTCCCCATCATTCCTTCATGAAACCTCTCTGGTACCAGGAAAGAGAGATGAGGACTCTCTCCTGTATTCCAAGACAGCCTGTCCTCACCTCCTCCTGGCACTCATGTGCCACTCTCCATCTCCCTCCTCCTCCAGATGGCTGCGACAGCCTCCAAGCTGCTCTCCATCGCCTCTTTCTAAGCTACCTCTTTTTCAGAAGATATACACACACCACAAAGAAGCATAAGAAACAGTGGTCAGTTCCAGGCGAGAAAATAACAAAAATAATGAACAACCATAGACCAGAGACATGTTGCGGGGGTGGAGTGGGGAATGGGATCAAAAACGGGGTGGGGGGGGTAGGGGTGGGGAGGGAAGTGCACGGGATTATGGTGGTGGCACACGGGTGACTTGGTGATGGGAAACCCGCGGGGATTACAATTGAGATGGAAAAAAAATGTACAAAATGATGTAAAAATAAACTTGTAAAATAAAAAAGAAAAAAACAAACAAACAGTGGTCAGTCAGTGTTAGGTGAAAGGTACGTGAGAAATTCATTTTTAGCCCGCCAATTTCTGCAGGCTTGAAATAAAGAGCGAGGGGGAGGATAGAAAATTAAAGCAAATTCTATTTTAGTCAGTTCCTTGTGCAAATCTTGAAGCCTTTTAATGTGATTTCTGTAGTTCACAGGGTATAAAGGTGGCACAGGGTATAAAGTCTCAACTGTGGCAAGCTACTGCAGCATTGGGTCAATCCCCAGCCAGGGAGCTGACCCACATGTTGCAACAGACCTCTCCTGTCTCCCGGATGCTCCCTCAGCAGTGTATTTCAGCAGATCCACCTGTTCTGTCCCCACTCGTTGTGGTGAATCCTCTCACCCCCTAAATCTCCAACCTAAGCTGAGTTCTTGTATGCACACATAAAAATCTTTTTAAAAAAAGTTTACTATCAGGGGAGGAGCCAGGCAGGTCGGTAAGACCAACCAAATATTTTCTATGCACTCAGGTAAGGGAGTCCCTTCAGGAATCCCTTAAGGATTCAATCAGCTATGTGAGCATCTAAAGAGAAGGTCCTTAAACAATAAATCGTCAACATGATAGAACATGGGTCCTATGTGACTGAATATTTGCTGAATTGGGGAGTGAATTTTTGAATTAAAATTTAGAGGTTGATTTGCATTTTCAGTTGTACTTGTTCCTATGCCAAGGTTTTAAAGTTCATGATAGAAGGAGAAATGTATTTATAGGCTCCTAAAAGCATCAACACTTTTTGCTTGAGGGATTAACAGAGATGAAGTGTCTCTGGGGCCTGCAGGACTGACTTTGATCCCCACTGGGGACACAGTCCTCCACTTACTCCTTCTAATGGACGAGTGGGCAATGCTCCCGTGACTAGTGTGTTTATCCTTCCAACTAGAGATGAGGGTTCTGTTCTAGTCACTTCCCAGCACTCCAGGGGCAGGGAGGTCGGGGTGCTGTGATTCCTTTTACCGCTCTCCTGCTTTACCTGCCTGGCCAACTTTACATCACTTTTATATCAAAGCCTTGGCTTCACTTCCTCTGGAGAGGCTTTTCTTTCTTTTCCCAGAAACATCTTGTCTGGCCCTGTACTTTTTCCTTTTCTCTCCCATTGCTGCTGCCCCCCTCACTCAGTAACTATTTTTTTAAAGATTTATTTATTTATGCATAGTAGAACGGGGTACAGGCCAGAGGCACAGCGGGTAAGGAGATTCACCAGAGACAAAGTGGGGAGCAGAACCCCCATGTTTATTGCTGCTTTATTTACAGTTGGAAAAACATGGAAGCAGCCCAAATGCCCAAAAGTAGATGACAGGATTAGAAAGATGTACATATACACAATGGAATATTACTCAGCAACCAAAAAAGGGAAACACATGTCTTTTGCAGCAACTTGGATGGAGCTGGAAAAGATCATGCTTAGTGAGATAAGCCAGAAAGAGAAAGAAAAATACCGGATGGTTTCACTCATAGCAGGAGTATAATGGACCAGGCGAGAAAATAACAAGAATAATGAACAACCATATACCAGAGACATGTTGCGGGGGTGGAGTGGGGAATGGGATCAAAAACGGGGGGAGGGGTGGGGAGGGAAGTGCACGGGACTATGGTGATGGCACACCCGTGATTTGGTGATGGGAAACCCGCGGGGATTACAATTGAGATGGAAAAAAAATGTACAAAATTATGTAAAAATAACTTATATTATTAGAAAAAAAAAGTGGGGAGCAGAACAGGTGGACATACTGAAATACATTGCTGAGGGGGGCAGCAGGCAGGCCAAGAGAGCTCTGTCATACCATGTGGGCCACCTCCCTGGCAGGGGAGTGAACTTGTGCTGCAGTGGCCATGGATAGCTTCGTGGTGCTGTGTTTAACATGTTGTGCCACCAGGGAGGGCCCTCCTGGTAACTGTTTTTATTATGACTATCTGCTCTCTATTTTTAAGGTCCTTAAGGCAAGACTATCTTATTCCTCTTTGTATATCGGTATCCCCTGAGGCCCAGCGTATAGACACATAGCAAGTGCTTAACATAAAATAGGAATTGGAAGGTTGGATAATCTACAGGAATCAGAAAATGGGAAAACAGATTTAGCAGTTGACAGTCACAAAGAACTACAATGCCCAACTTGCTCCTCTCTAGCTAACAAGTCTAGTTCTCTACAACTGGCATTTTCCTTCCTCATAGTAAAAAACACTTGTCTTCTCCCTAATCTTGTAGAATGAGACTAGCATGATAATGTAATTTGCTACCTAAACTGTACTTTCCTAAATACGCACAGTGTGTTGTATTTTAAAGAGATGGCTTAATAAACAGACTTCGAGTGGCTCTGGAATCAGACTGCTTGGGTTCAAATCGAGCTGTTATTGAGTGTGTGATCCTGGAGCCGTTACTCTCTCTCCAAACCCGCTGTGTAAGTAGGAATAATTATAGCACTTGTCTTATCAAGTTGTATTACATGAGGTAAAGTATACAGAGCACGCAATTAGTACCTAGCATGCCACTAAATGTTGCCCACTACTGTAACTTATTATAAAAATTGACACGTTTCATGTCACCTGCATATACCACTGACAACTGGCAGGAAAGGATGAAAACTTGGGCCCCAAGGGGACATTCGGCAGTGTGTGCAACAATCTTAGTTATCGCCAGGTGGAGTTCTACGAGAAGGGACGCTGCACAACACCTTCCGGTGCACAGGACGTTCATCCGTCCTCGCCATAGAATTACGGGCCCACAGTGTGCATGGCGGCAAAGCTGAGAAATCAGAATATGCACAGGCGACACATTTCCGAAGAAGCAGCCACAGGTGTGATTGCACCTGTGTCGTGTGGGCACATCCGAGCACGTGCAGCGCACGCCCCTACCCGCGTCCGGGGGTTGGGACTCGCCCCGCGTCGGTCAGTGGCGGCTCGCAGGGCTCCGCGCCGAGCCGACAGCTGCACGTGGGGCCCCGGCCACAGCCCGGGGTGGCCCCGGCCACAGCCCTTAGCGGGGTGGCGTCCCAGTAAGCTGCCGGTCGCAGCACTGGGGGTCCAGGTCCACTCCGTGCCTCTCTGTTTAATCACCAAGCGCCCCACCCCGAGGCCGGGGCTCGGGCAGCCTCGGAGACGTCGGGGCGCGCGCGGGGTACCCCCAGCTCGGTCCAGCGCTGCGCGCGCAGCCCGCC